ATAAATAGATTCATTGTGTGTTATTGATTATATTCTTGTATGTAATTTTATGTCACAAGCGGTTAATATCCCAAATAACGATCATGGAGATGAAAGAGATAATTGTTTTATAAAGCTGGCGTGAACTGTTGGTTTAATTTATGCTAACAAAGAGTCCTTTCTTCCAGAAGACAGTAAACTCATTAGGCTAATAAATGCGTTTGTTTTATTGCGCTGTTTGATGTTACGATATGTTTACGATATTTTTGAATTGTTAATTATTAAATGTCCTTTAGAGATTGTGAGGGGGGGGGCGAATGGTTAGCGCGTGCGCGTTTGTATCGTAACATCTGTCATTGAGTTAACTGGTGTGGTTTCGATTCCGTGGCTGTACGTTACAAGGAGTAGGATCGCCTGTCCAACCTCGAGAGTTTTCTCCGGGTCCACCGGTGTCCTCCCACTGCTAAAGACACCTATGCCTAATTCAGGTGAATTATTGAAATAAAATTGAACTACACGTTAGTCCCGAAATGACATAGTTTGTGTCGAATGTACGTAAAACCCCTTCTCTCTATCATCACAGTTTATCAAAACTGTACTGATTGACCCTACTGATAGAGTCTACATGACGTAGCACTTATTTAAATTCAATGGGGGTCAATCGGTGTTTTCGTAAACAAGATTCGGTTTTGAGTATCGTATTGTAGAAATCTGATATAATTTGTGATATATCTAGCAGATAGTTAGTTATACGATACGATACATAACACTGAATCTTGTTTACGAGAACACTGATTGACCCACTTTGGGTATAAATAAGTGCTACGTCATGTAGACTATATCCGTAGGGTCAACCAGTACAATTTTGATCAATTATTGTGAAAATAGGAGACATTGGAAGTGGAACATGTATTTCTTGTACAGTTATCAGGCTTGTTACCATTAGTCATAACCAAACCGTTTTTGGTAAACAAGAAAAAACAACAACAGTGAAACAAAAACGCCTTATTTATGTGGGGGAGAGAGAGAGAGAGAGAGAGAGAGATGGGGTTTAACGTCCAATCGACACAAACTAGGTAATTTCGAAACTAACACATGGTTCAATTTTATTTCAGTAATTCGCTTGCGCGTAGGGATCTTTAGCAGTTGAAGGATACCAGAGGACCCGGAGAAAACCCACGTGGTTGGAAGGCGACCCTACTCCTTGTCACGTACAACCGGAGAATCGAAACCCAGCCAGTTGACTCAATGACAGACCGTATGATACAGCGCGCACACGCTAACCATTCGGACATCTAACACCTCCCCCCCCCCTTATATTATGTAGACCTATAAATATCAACAGAATAATACATCATACGACAAGAGGATTTAACTGTGTACATACATGTATATCTACACATGTATGTATACGCGTACCTAATACGGTACATGGATTGTGACCTAGATAGAGTATAAACAAGCAACTGATCAAATGATACATTTATTTAAAATTGAGTATTTTAGTGTTTTTAAACATCAAGTGGTTTCAACGTTATGTCTATTTAACATCTGAATCTGGACCAAGATCTATGTAAACAAATTGTTAGACTTGTTAGTGCAACATACAGTTCAAAATAATAAAAAAATACACTTGTCATTCACGTTGTCCTATTCGGTCTTTTGTGCTGTGTTCATGATGTGCTTCATGTTTAATTGTTGTAGCCTCAGACTTTGGATCTGTTAACATGTACCCCAATAACGTACCTGGATTATGACCTAGCCAGAGTACTAGCAGTCCACAGATAAAACGGTTCATTTATATCCAATTACAGACGCAGAGACACTTTTTTCTGTATGTAAACATTTAAGATAAAGAGAAGCACGCAACGGAGTTCATTCAGTCTGAAGATTTAACTATGAACGAAACTAGTCACAAAAGATAAAATATGTATGGCGCTGGTGGACGGACTGATAAAAATTGTGACCCATTTTGTAAACTTGTGAAATCTGCCCTACTGTTATTACGTTTGTGACTAGTGGCGGATCCATATGGGGGACCCTAGCCCAACCTACTCACCAATAACACTATGAAATTCAACCTCCAACAAAATATTCTGAGCCCGCCACTCAGACAGTAGGTCTCTAGCCCCACCCTCACCAATAACAGTATGAAATGCACTAATTATTGTGTAAATTCGTATTTTTCTGTTGCTTGGGGTAGGATCCATTGATGTGCACTTAAAACACCTCAGACAGTTAGTATTCAAAATGTCCAGGTAAAATGTCCTCATAGCATACGGCACAGCGTATATAGAGAGAAGTATCCCTTCGTTGTGCCGCTGTTAAGCCAGGAATCCGTGACAAATGGTCCTAATCTCATAGCTTCGCTCTGAGGTTCAGCGCGACGACCAGACACTTCTCAGGTTTTTCTTGTTCATTTCTTGCCTTCGCGTTCTTAACGCGTAGCGAAGCCACGGCGGAGCCAAATTTCTTGCCTTTCATTTCGCCTTCCAACATGTGCTCAACATATATAGGCTGGAAATACCTTCTTCTCCCGGTTACGGACTCATAGTTGAGTTAACACCGCGAAGGCACGAAATGAACAAGGCATAATTAAGAAGTTTCTTGACTTTGTACTCATTATGTCTTGCCTTGACTGGTGAAGGCAAGAAGGAGCGAAAGAGTACCCATTGGCTTCCATACGTATGTCTGTCTTCTGGCTGGTAGGGGCTGGGTTCGATCCCACCATATGGTGGCCAGGAAAGTAGCTCAGGATTTTCCAGCATTCGTTCCCATTGTCACTGGTGCAAAATGGCGAGCCTGGCAAGGAACAATGTCTTATTTGGACGGACACGAAAACTTGTGTACACGTTATCGTTCTTGTAAAAGAACCTTTTGCCAGAATTTGAATTAGATTCACACACGTTACCTCATTGCACACTATAATCTATATAGCGTATACCTGTCTTCATTACCCTAGCTGGTGCAGAAAAGTCTAATGCAAAACCCCATTTGATAACTGGGAATCACGGCGGCTCAGTGAATACGACGTTAGCTCGCTCACCTGGAGGTTCCGTGTTCGATCCAGGTCATCGGGATTTTTCGGCATGATTCCCCGCTTGTCAGTGGTGTAGGACGGAGTAGCTGGCACGACAGGAGGAAACACGAGGTTGGACAGACGACCTCACTCCTTGTCACGTACAAACGGAAAAACGAAATCAAGTTATTTGACTCCAAGACCAAAGCAGGTAGCGTGTCTCTTGATGTTCAGAATATCTCTCTCGCTCTCTCTATCTCCTCCCTTTATCCAGATTTTTGTTCTGTCCTCCTTTTTCATTTTGAGTGTGCGTGTGTGTGTGTGTAGGGGGGGGGGGGCGAATGGTTAACACGTGCGCGCCGTATCTTGAGGTCGTTCATTGAGTCAACTGACGTGGTTTCGATTCCTTGGTTGTACGGTCCAACCGCATGGGTTTTCTCCGGGTCCTCCGGTTTCCTCCCACTGCTAAAGACCCCTCCGCGCTAGCGAATGTTGAAATAAAATTGAACCATGTGTTAGTCCCGAAATGACTCATTTTGAGTGGAGCCTGTTTTAGTACCAACCGAGGGTTGTGCATCGGAACAGACCTCCGAATTGATTTGCTATTTTTTGTTTATTTCTTTCAATGTTTGTGTGGGTTGTGTCTTGTCCGCAGGTTTGTCTTATTGGGTTTGTGTGTAGTGCTGTCCTCCTGTGCTTTGGGGGTCGTATGGCTGAATGGTTAGCACGTGCGCGCTGTATCATAAAATCTGTCATTGAGTTAACTGGTGGGGTTTCGATTCCCCGGTTGTACGTGACAGGGAGTAGGGTCGCCTGTCCAACCTAGTGGGTTTTCTACGGGTCCTCCGGTTTCCTCCCACTGCTAAAGAACCCTACGCGCAAGCGAATTATGTAAATAAAATTGAACCATATGTTAGTCCCGAAATGACCTAGTTTGTGCCGAGTGGACGTTAAACCCCATTCCTCCTCTCGCGTAGGGGTTTGGCAGTGGGAGGAAACCGAAGGACCCGGAGAAAATGCTTGATTAGAGAGAGAAAGAGATAAATGGGGTTTAACGTCCACTCGACACAAACTAGGTTATTTCGGGACTAACATATGGTTTAATTTTTTTTTTATTTCAATAATTCGCTTGCGCGTAGGGGTCTTTAGCAGTGGGAGGAAACCGGGGGACCCGGAGAAAACCCACGAGGTTGGAGAGGCGACCCTACTCCTTGTCACGTACAATGCTGTCTACCCCTAGCTATGATTAAACATGCATTATGCAAGAGCTAAATCTAAGAGCTAAATCTGCCTATTACAGGTCTTTCTTTAGGCCTGAAATGTTATATAAATTATTAATTAAACATTTATGAACAAAACAAGACCATAATCAACTCTTAATGGCATCGGATACTCGAGATTTTAACTAGATTAGAACGGTTCACCATTTAAAAATTTAATTAAAAAATGGGAAAGCGAGGCTTAGGCTCGAAAATACCAATGCCCTGCTTACCACAATGCACACATCTTGTCAAAACTACAAACAGTGCTAACTTGGCTGAGTATGAAGTAACTTGAATGAAAATTTCCATATGTTCATTTTACATTATCCATTTTGAGCTATTATAGCAAGAATGGTCAGCTCTTTATCTAAATCTTGCATAATGTATCTTTAAGTTTATCATATTTAAATTTCATTGAAATCGGTTAATAATTGCGATCTGTAGCCATAAGGCTAATTCGATTTTTTTGCTTACCACATGTGGTAAATAGCCAATCCCTGCTATGGGTGGAGTGATGAAAATTCAGGATCCGCCCCTGCTTCATTCTCTGGGTTTTTGAGTCCATTAAGAAGCGTATATTCGGAGCAGAACAACAGGACGTTAAACCCGATTTTATTCCCATAAAGCACATAAAATGTCAAGGACCCACTGACCCAATTTCTATTGATATTAGCTGAACGTTAGATATGACGTGTGTTGTTACGGTACAGTGCGCCTATATAGCTAGAGTCGGAGTTATTTTTAGAGCAGTAGGCTTTTTTGTGGCCCGTGTGTTCATTACGTGCTGAACAGTGGACATTATGTTCGGCTTTTTGTTGGATGGTTATGTGTCTATCATAGTTTTGTTGATAACGTTTTGTCTGTATCTTTATTGGGGTACGAGGCGACCGCCTGGTCTTCCGCCAGGACCGACTCCCCTCCCTATGATTGGTAACATACCCTCGTTACTAGCAACAGACACAATAGCAGCCTTCGCGCGCCTCAGAGATGAATATGGTGACATTTTCAGCCTTGTTATCGGTAATGGAGTATTAGTTGTCGTCAATGGTTACGACACCATAAAAGAAGTGCTTGTACAGAATGGAGACCTATTTTCAGAACGACCCCAGAATCTTGGTTACACTAAAGCTACTAAAGGTTTAGGTAGGTACTTTCGTTTTAATCCCGTGCCGTGGATAGTCTTGATCAGCCAGGGCACTATGTATTACTGGTAAGAATGCGTTCCGGGTTCGATCCTGTTGTGGGCCGAGAGAGTCTCTGGGGATTTTAGAACGTGATTTCCGGTTATCATTCGTTTAGGAAGGACGTGGGGTTCTGGACAAGCAAAGGTGTATAGTCGTTCGGATGACACAATATAACCAGAATCTCTCGAGATTGGACAGGCCACATTGGACAAACCACGCCACTTGACAGACCGTATGATCCAAAGCGCTCGTGTTAAACTATTATCCTCTACCACTTGCCGTGCTCGGAGAGACTTGAAATTTTCAGGGGGCTAGCGATTACCTCACATCAAGTTTCTTACCACGAACTTATCGTTATTAGGGAACACTAACCCACTCTTTACCTAACCCTAGCCCCCACCCTAGTTTTCTTTCTATATTATTCAGGAATTATCAGTACCAATGGAGTTAAATGGAAAGAACAAAGAAGATTTGCTCTGAGTACTTTGAGAGATTTCGGAATGGGTAGAGTTCAGATGTTCGACAGAATAACGAATGAATGTCAGAAATGTTTGAATAACTTTGCAAAACAAGATGGCCGACATTTTGATCCCGATCAAGTGATAGGGGTGTCAGTTTGCAATGTTATATGTAATGTTGTGTTTGGCAAAGGCTATGCTCATGATGACCCCGAATTCTTAACTTATTTAGAAATGATGCATAGCGATGCCAAGAAGGTGGGCAACACGGCTTTCATGCACTTCTTCCCACTACTTCAATTTTTTGTTCACCGATCTCTGATGAAAACGGATAATGCGATTCGAAGAGGTTTTATCGCCACACAAGTTCAAGAACACCAACAAACGTTTGATGAAAATAACTTGAGAGATTTTGTGGACGTTTTTCTTAAACAAATGGAAGAAAGAGAATCCGAAGAAATGCCAACGTTTCATTGTAAGTATTTTATAATACGAAAGGGATCAGAAATGAAATGAAATGGGGCTTAACGTCTTACTGTTCTGCTCCGAACTGGGCTAATGAAGACGGGCATACGCCATACAGTGTTCTATGAGGGAAATTTTTCCCGGACAGCGGCACTGCGGCCTACTCTTACATCGAATTCCAACTGTCAAGGATATTTTACGTGCACGCCAATGTTTACACGGGACCTCGGGTTTTCGTCCTATTCGAACGACTAGACAACTGCCCTTGTCAGGCCCTCCGTCCTGCATAACGGGGAACCACGCCGGAAAATCTGGATGAACTTTCTCGGCCAATGCAGGGATCGAACACTCGACCTCCAAAAGGGATCAGACCTACAAACAGAATTTATAGCAAGCTTAGAAACAAAATTTTCACATATTGCATCTAGTAACTAAAGAAAGTGTACATTTTTTGGAAAGTTTATAAACCGAGGAACAGGAATTTTCATACTTCCAACCAAAATGTTTTCGCAAAAACTCGATTTCGGACCAGATGAAAATTGTCATAATTGTCAACCGATAATTTCTGTAGTTGGCATAAAATTGAATATTATTGAAAATACCTAATACCTTCTTCCGTAGCCACAAATAGTTTATTAGTTACATTTTGATTTAAACAAGAATACCCAAAACATAGAAGACATAGGTACACGAAGAATTTTGGAAATCCCTTAACAGTACAAGAAGTTATCACCCTTTATGTCAACTGTCGGCAATTATTGATAAAAGTATGTACTTTAACAATATTATATTGAAAAAAATGAATTATATTGAAAAACAGTCAAGGGCCTTTAAGTTCTCCCAAAGCAGTATTTCTAATAGTAGTTATACAACAGTATAACTATAAACCTTCATTCCAGATAAAATTTCAGGCTAATTTTTCTAACAAATATTCAAACACAAATCATCTATAAATATGTAATTTTCTCACTAAAATAGATACATGTCAAAAAATAATCATACTATAATACGGTGTTGGTCGAGGAAATGGTACAAGGTTGGTCTCCCCTTGTCATGTTTGTAGGACAGAGGGCCTTGTGGACCCATTGGCGTGCACGTAAAAAACATTTAATTGGAATTTGAAATTAGAGTATATGGAATTTGAAATAAGAGTATATGGAATTTGAAATTAGAGTATATGCGATAGCCCTGCTCTCCGGACAAAGTGACTCTCATAGCACACTAAGTCCATTTCATTTCACAATTATTTATTAGCATAAAGCACCGAATAAAAATCAAAATTACAATCTTTAATGTTCACCTTAAAGTAGCTAAGTCTCTAACTCAACATCATCAAAAGGCTTCGACATTGAAAACACGAATTATTTGTCAATTTAGATCAACATTGATGTTGTGATCTTACCGGGAAAAGATGGGCTTCTGATATCCAATATTTAAGACAAAATAAACATTTTTACCATTGGTACACGAATCGTGTAACATAATGGGTTTTCAGCGATATTTGTATTAAATGCCTCGAAGAACGAGGCTAGACATATTGCACAAGTCATGTCAAACGGTGACACATATTCTTATTTGGAGAGCATGCGCAATAAATACTGGACTGGAATAACCAGACACTAGAGACTGCCATTCGGTTGAGACTTCTGGCGTATTTTGCCGAATATAACTGATTAGAAATTACGGTAAAAACAGAAACGGTTGAATGTAAATCAGTTTATATACATCCATGTTACATTATTATATGCGTTGCGACCGTTTTGTGTCAATTTCTAGGTCCCAAATATTAGCGATTTAGCTCCTTTAAATTCGATTCACGCTATTGCCGATCTTTTTGTTGTTCATATAAAGGTATATGTCAGTATGCTAGTGGCGTAAATGTCTGATTGGTCATTTAACTACGCCTTATATCAGCGCCAGATAATAAAATCCCATGGGAATAAATTAAATACACCCGTTTGTGGGCCGATACTCCTTTGAACTAATCGGAATTAGTGATTTAGAGCTGGCGCTTTAAATCGCAAGGACTGTCAGGTGACGAGGGTTCGATTTCCCGCTTGAAAGAGCTAAGGAGTAGAGTCGCCTGTCCAACATCGTGGGTTTTCTCCAGAGCCTCTGCCCCCCCCCCCCCGTCCCACTACTAAAGACCCCAACGCGCCAGCGAATTATTGGAATGAATTGAACTATATGTAAGTCCCTAAATGTTCTAGTTTGTGACGAGTGGAAGTTAAACCCCATCTCTCTCTCTCTCTCTCCCTCTCTCTTTCTCTCTAAAATCGCAAGGGCTGTCAGGTGACGAGGTTTCGATTTCCCGCTTGAAAGAGCTAAGGAGTAGAGTCGCCTGTCCAACATCGTGGGTTTTCTCCAGAGCCTCTGACCCCCCCCCCCCCGCCCCACTACTAAAGACCCCAACGCGCCAGCGAATTATTGGAATGAATTGAACTATATGTAAGTCCCTAAATGTTCTAGTTTGTGACGAGTGGAAGTTAAAACCCATCTCTCTCTCTCTCTCTCTCTCTCTCTCTGCCCGTCAATATTATGCTGGTCGCAGATTATAGTTAAGAGGACCATGTAGCGACATTTCATGCGAGAAATCCTGGCTACAGGCCTAGACATAAAGTTATTATCTTGGTGTTTAATAATACCTGGACGAGAAATCTAGTGATTAATAACAACTTCGTGTCTATGTTTTACATGTCATATCTTTGTCACTTCTAACCCGTACATTGATTTCAAAATATTTTCTGTTTTCTGAGACATTGTGAAAGCTATCTAGCATGTATGTGTTATAAAAGAAACATTCTTCTTTTTTAGATGAAAATTTACTTCAAATTGTCGGTGAATTCTTCTTCGCCGGAACTGAAACAACAACGACAACATTAAGATGGGCGATACTTTTTCTCGCTCTTCATCCTGAACAGCAAACAGTGGTGCAAGAGGAAATAGACAGAGTTATTGGCCGTGACCGGAAACCAACAGCAAATGACAGGAGGTCATTACCATTAACGGAGGCCACCATTTTGGAAGTTCAGCGTCTTGGTGACGTAGTACCACTCTCTGTACCACATGCTGTTGCCGAGGAAACAGTAATTAATGGTTACCGTATTCCAACCAACGCAATTATTTTACCCAATCTCTCGTCGGTTCTCAATAGCAAGGAATTGTGGGGTGACCCGGAAGTATTTCGGCCAGCTAGATTTTTGGACAGCGAAACAAAACTGTTAAAAGTTGATGCTCATATTCCATTTTCATTAGGTAAATAATTATTAAACATGCATTATGCAAGAGCAAAATCTGCCTATTACAAGTCTTTCTTTAGGCCTGAAATGTTATCTAAATTATCAATGAGGCATTAATTAACTTATTCAGACCATAATAAACTCTCGATGTCAAGCCTAGGCTTCGATGTTGGCTGGATTAGATTCCTATATGCCGCTAACGGCCATTGATAATTAAATCAGAAAAAGTGGATAATCGAGACTATGCTGTTTATATTAATGATTTTAGTAATGATGACCGAGACTATGAAAAATTTCTCCCGCTTCTTTCTCGGCTCATAGTGGATCAATTTGACTGAAATTTTCAGCAAATGACCTTTACACTATCTAGTTTTTAACTATTATAAAGAGAACTGCCATCTCTTTATCTTATCTCCCATAATGTATCTTTAATATAAACATTGAAATGAAATGGGGTTAATGGTCCAACTTCCCTGCATCAACCGGGATAAAAAAAAAGACGGACATACGCATCCGTGACTCTGCGATTGTTCTAATCCATTTAATATCACGACCACCCGATGTTCTAGAGAGTTGATTATTGGGCTATCATGTGAATAAATTCCTAATTTATACTTTATATAACTATTGAAGCCCCCCACCACCACCACAACACCCACAAAACATCCCCAAAACAAATCATACCGGCAATAAGTAGTTTTATTTCTTATAGGTTTAACAAATATGATCAGTTCTGAATTCTAATATAATATTACTTTGACTTTTCAGGAAAACGGATGTGTCTTGGGGAATCTCTAGCTAGAATGGAACTGTATATCTTCATGACCATGATGCTGCAATCTTTTACATTTAGTTTACCGGATACAGAGCCGATTCCATGTTTACGGGGTGTTCTGGGTATAACTAGAATGCCTCATCCATATAATATCATTGCGACCAAACGTTAGAGGATGTATTGTCAAAGGAGGAATAACGGTATCAAAATGACTGATGTCATTGACGAAATGGTTATACAACGGTATACTTACGTCACTTCCACCTGCTAGTATACATAGATCATTCCCGTTCGCTCTAAAACATCACTTATTTTATAGAGAATAAACACTACGTTTTGTTACACAACATTCTTAGTCTATGTAAAATGGCTCAATCTATTTGTTAAGGCCAGCTCAATTTTTGTCAAGGTCGCTGAGATGTAAACTGTTACCCGTTTCCATTTTTTTTCATTATTTATAAATATAAAATGATCGAGATTAAAATCTGCTTAACATGTCAATCAACTATTATTGTTAACATCAGGACTATTACTTGTGGAGCCGAATAGGAGACAGTTTATGATTTTAAAAGGATATTTTAATTTGTCAAGGTTTCCTGTAGTGCATTTGAATGTAAAAAGCATCGCAGGGGGTAGTGATCGTGATCTTCAAATATTAGACCGCAAAGGCATGCGGGACTGTCAGCAACATATCTAAAGAATTTGTGATCCGGTAGGTCATTGCATCGGAGTCTATGTCTACAATGGATTATTTGAACCTTCCGCCGAGTTTATTTCACTGTCTTACTGGATGGGATAAATGATTTAGAAAAAATGTTCAGTACGACGTAGAATTTATCTTACTTTATGTTAGGTTTGGTCGGGGGGGGGGAGAGAAAGACTAAAAATAGCTTTGACCCTTAATTCGTGGGTGACGGTGTAGGAATAAATTGTGGGCTGTGTCCGTGGATTACTTGGGTGGATTAGTTGAGGTTTCTTGTGAGCGATTGTTATGGGGTCAAACGGGGGGGGGGGGGTCTTAAAAACATCCCTCTGGCTACTCGAATGAGACGCTCAAAATCAGCAAGATATGTTTTCCGATGGTGATATCGCAGACAGGTTATCTTATTTTATTATTATTAGCGCACGCGCAAGGGTCTTTCCTGTGGGAGGAAACCGGAGTACCCGGAGTAAACCCACGAGGTTAAGAAGGTGCCCTTATATACAAGTCACATACATTCACACCGGGTATCGAAACCACGAACAAAGAGGTGATGGACCCCTGCATTGTGATTGATACCGATGTTACGATAATAAACAAAATCTTGATTATCCATTTTGTAATCAGATTATTAACGGGAAATCGTACTTAAATTCGTTGAAAAACAAAATCATTGATATTTAATTATGGGCTTGACATGTGAATAAATGTCTAATTAATGAGTTGTAGAACAATTAAGGCCAAACAAACGATCTGCAATAGGCAGATTTGGATCTTACACAATGTATCTTGAATGCAATATCACTTTAATTATAGTTTTGGAAATATATTAAATTAGCTTAATTATACAAACCACGTTGTAAAGTATCTCCATGATGGGGGTGCAGTGGATGGCCAACTGACAAGGAGTAGGGTTGCCTGCCCAACCTCATGGGTTTTCTCCCCCGGTTTCCCCCTACGCGCAAGCGAATTATTGCAATAAAATTGAACCATGTGTTTGTCCCTAAATGACCTAGTTTGTGTTGAGTGGACTTTAAACCCCATCTCTCTCTCTCTCTCTCTCTCTCTCTCTCTCTCTGATCGTTATTGTGGATAGTAACCACTTGTGACGTGACATCATCAGAGGTCAATATTGCGATATTAGCCTACACGCATAGTTCAAAATGGCATACAAGAAAAGCAATAACACAGAATGAATCTATTTATTACATTGAACAAAAAAGTTTATCATGAAACTTAGGGCGTTGATAATTGTGAAAAGTTCGGGAAAACATTTCGTCGACGGTCTGTTGAAGAATAAACAGACAAGTTTAGGTCAATATGACGTGTGTTCGTAGCAAACTGCACTCACGTGTATATTAACATGACAACTAGAGGACTAACCCATTTTGAAGAAAAGGGTGGCTTTGCTGTTAATCTCCCTTGGTTACTCAGCGGTGTGGGGGTCCATCAGATGGGCACAAAACCAGACCAATCTTTTCTATTGTACAGTTTTGCGAGTGGTAATCAGTCCGCCGTTGGGGCGTTTTAGAGATATTCGGGGTCAAAGGTCAAATGAGGTCATTTGCACTGAAAGTGAATGCGCGGTCATTCCTGTATCATGAAAATAAGCTGAAAATGATCGAAAGTAATCAACCTTTCAATAAAAATGTAAACTTGCTAAATTCACCTTTGTTCTTTGTGACCACAGAGGTCAAAAGGTCACATTTTCTGTTTTAGCACTAGGAAGATTTAAGTCAATAAATCTCAGCCCAATATATAAACAGTAAAGCGAAACCTGTTCTAATTAATAATAGGAACATTTAAAATTTATCTTCAGGTGGTCTTACCACCGAACTTTCACTTTGGAACGTCGGAAAAGATTTTGGATAAAAGAACCAAAACACTTTTAAACCTGTTTCAAAAATACGTAAAAACTGTCAAATCAAAATGTCTCCGATTTAGTTTCACAACGATTGATATGCATAATGAAACTAGTTGTCCGGAAAAAACAATTGAATAGTTTCATGGTCTGGTTTTGTGTCCATATGTTGGACACCCCCGCACTGAGTCCCCGGTCAATGACTCATAAAGACCTCTCACGCGGGTCCAATATTGCAATAGTATAAATAATGGTACGCCAACATGACAGGATGACGTCACATCTGTATTTTAAAGTTTGTCAAATAGTCACATTAGCTAGACAACTCATCCAATAGTATACGGAACAAATACTCAAAACCAAGCGAACGGGAATACATTTCTGTTCGGCCATTTTTTAGATAGTTTTAATCTTTCCTTTTGGATGTCTATTTTACATGTAACTAAAATATCATTCCCACATCCTCGCACATGCTTTTTTTCGTTCACATCCGTATATGGTTAGTTTATTATGTGGCTGCCGTATCATGAAAGTAAAACGTATTCCAGTCAATGCAGCCTACCCCGTTCCTATCTCAGTAACGTCGAGGTCAACAAATTATCCCCAACCAAGAAGCCACCATTACACAGGCCCTGACATTGATATAAACGTAGACATCATAAGCTGGAGAATGAGGGATACTATGGAAGCGTATAAGGGTCAATATCACGAAAGATACCGCGATATTAATATGGTAATATGTCAAGATATTGGGATTGTTGAAATGATTTTAACATTGAAAAGAGAAGTTAAAGTAGCTAAGTCTCTAAGTCAATATCATCCAAAATCTTCAACATTGAAAACACGAATTATTTGTCAATTTAAATCAACATTGATGTTGTGATCTTACGAGGAAAAGATGGGCTTCTGATATTCAATAATTAAGACAAAATAAACATTTTACCGTTGGTACACGAATCGTGTACCATGGTGCATTTCAGCGCCATTTTTAACAAGGAACTCGTAGAAAGAGGCTAGATTTATTCCACAAGTCATGTCAATCGGTGACGACATATTCTTATCTGGAGAGCATGCGCAATAAGTACTATCGGTATAGAGTGGAATAACCAGACGCTAGAGATTGCCATTCGATTGATACTTCTGGCGAACATAACTGATTAGAAATTGCAGTAAAAAAGAAACGGTTGAATGTAAATCAGTTTATATACATTCACATTACATTATTATATACGTTGCGAGCCATTTGTGTCAATTTCTAGATCCAAAATATTGGCGATTTAGCTCCTTTAAGTTGAGTTAATTGAATCAAAGTACTATGTTGTGTGCCGCCATTCCGTTCTAAATGTGTACGTTTGCGTTACGATATTGCTATTCTGAAGCATTATCATCATATTCCATTTCGCGATAGTATATGTTGTCACACCGTACGGTGATAATGGAATATGTTGCCAAAATTTCCCAGGAGAAATATCATAACGCAAACGTGTGACATACAACATAGCGCGTTAGTAAAATTAATTCGGCAAAAACTGTCTTGTAGACATATTACCATATTGATATTGAGATATCTTTGGCGCTATTGACCCCAATACGCTTCCATAGAATACACGCATGGATTTAGTTAAATTTGATTTTATTAATATATCGATACGTGAAGGAAGGCGCCGTAATCTTATTATCAATAATATCTTTAATCTGTAACTCGTCAGGATAAACGGGTTCTAACTGTAATCACTATATGTAATGTTCTTTAAATATGCATTATGCAAGAGCTAAATCTGCTTGTTGCAGGTCTTCGTTTGGACCTGAAATGCTATCTAAATTATTAATTAGACATTAATTAACTTATCCAGACCATAATCAATTCCAGATGGCATCGCTAGCGTTCGATATTTATAGGATTAGGTTCCGATTTTCTGCTCGAATTTCATTCATAATTTAATTATGAAATGGATAATCGAGACTATGTTTTTTTTATCGTACCGACTTTAGTAATGATGATCGAGGCTAGGCCAAAAATTCAATCGATAATATCTCGGTTCAGAGTGGATCAATTTGACTGAAATTTTCAGTAAATTCCCTTTACATTATCTAGTTTTTAACTATTATAGTGAGAACTGTCAGCTATTTATCTAATCTCCCATAATGTATGTTCAACTTATCTCCCATAATGTATCTTTAATGAACGGACAGAATATCGTATGTTTAATTTGAACATTTTTGTCGAAAGGATTACCTCGCGGATAGACCCCGACTCACCCACCCACCTGGCCACCCAGAGTACGACAGAGTACGAAATTGTTGAAATATTTCCGTTCATATGTCATTGGTGTTGATGCCCGTGCTAAAACTTTGCCACGTTTCAGCCCATATATTGATTGTTTGGAGATCTTTGTTTAGGGTAACTGCGGATGCATCTGGGTCATCTATTTTTAGGTACAGTGAGGTGTCATCTGCAAATAGTCTTATGTTTGATTGTATATCATTTACAATGTCGTTGATATATAATAAAAATAATAGTGGTCCCAATACACTGTCCCGAGGGACACCAGCGGGGATGCCCCTGGAGTCCAAGGACGTTCCGTGTATTACGATAATAACCCTCCACGCACTCCAGCAGCATCCAGCTTGTGACAGAGTCCAGCATGCCAGACTCTGTCAAAAGCCTTGCTTATGTCACAAAAGACGACCCTGGTATATTTGTTATGGTCAATGGCTTGACAAAAACGGTGATTTAGATTTGCATTAGGCAGATATGGATCTTACACAATGTATCTTGAATTCAATATCACTTTAATTATAGTTTTGGAAATATATTAAATTAGCTTAATGACACAAACCACGTTGTAAAGTATCTCGTTGATCTCCATGATGGGGGTGCAGTGGATGGCCAACTGACAAGGAGTAGGGTCGCCTGATTAACCTCATGGGTTTTCTCCG